TTTTACTTTTTATTTTATTAGATAAAGATACAATAAGAAAAAATAGCCTAAAACTCAAAAAAAAAATAAGTGGGAAAAAACTAATAATTGTGTAAAACAATCAATAAAAATAAAAATAGAGGTGACACAACATATACATTAAATTAGCACGAAGGCGGAAGTAATTTTCTCATTGTAAGAAATGTCAATATTTCCTCGACCCCACAAAAAACTTTTATTAAAAATGAAACAAACAACAACAATATTCACATTTTCAGTACGATTTTATCTTATCACCCCAAACTGATAAATAATAAAATAATTAAGCCAAAGCCGGCAATTTGGGAATTTGAACCCGGTCGTCGGACTTGTGCTTGGCCCGACGACTTCTTAACTGCTATCCGTCCCTGATTCCCGGCTGCATCCAGATGTACCCCGTGGCCGTCATCGAGCAAAAAGCGTTGTAATACCGTCCTGGAGCCCTGCAGAAGGACCATTCCGGGCACTTGCACCGGAACTGACTCTGGAACTCCTCTTTGCACACTTCGTTCCACCAACAAGTCCTCTAAAAACAGCGTCAAAGAGCGGAAAGAGAGCAAAGTGTGGATACCTCGGTCAAATAGCCGCTGACGGACCGGTCGGAGATGCTCCTCCTGCTGAGGAATCGCGCCGAGCTGTGCTCGAGCAGCAGGAAGGGCAGCAGGATCAACAGGGTCTGAAAAGTCACGTGTCAAGAGGGATTTGTGCCAATGAAGAGGACTCACCATCGATGGGCTTTTGCACATTTTTGAGGGCTGTGCTGGAGTATTGATTGGTGGTTGGCGCCATCTGCCGGAAAAAGCCACGTCGTGGGGCTCTTATCAGTTATCAGAAGCAAACATTTGGATAATCAATTATTTATTTATTATTGTTTGTAAGGAATAGTTGGGAAAGGTTAATTGAATTGGTTGTAACAAGACGATTTATAAAAATTGAGTCAAGTAATGAGAATTATTGTTCGAATAAATGAAAATTTTATCGTTTCACTTGATCATAATATTCGTGAAAGGGAAATAACAATCTAATACTTTATGTTACATGTCATCGTTTTGTATTTTTAATGGAAAATGTAATTTTATCACAATAAGATATTCAAGACATAAATTTTGTTGGATAACATTTTTATTTATTAGTTATGTAATGACAGCTCGATTTTCAAACAAGTTTAGTTTGTGGGTAGTACAGATTTGTACGAAACTGGAATAAAAATAGTAACCACAAAAATATTCATTCATTGTTTCAAGTTCTTGAAAATCAAGTTTCAAAAAATGGTAATACAGGGTGTTAAAAAAATTGTAAAATATTTAAGGAGAAGCAAAATAAACAAAAAAGTCTTAATAAACATGGGTCCGCAAAGTAACGGTCTTGGATATATCAAAAATTATTCATTTTTTAAACAAGAAAGAGAAGCTTCTACTAAAAATTCTAAAAATTTTCACATTGTTTATTATGACTTTTTTGTTTATTTTGACCCTAACTATTACCTCCTTAAATAATTTACAATAATTTTTAACACTCTGTATAGTATTTTATAAATGTTTAAGAAGTGCAACGTGAAACTCGTTTCCACAAGCTTATTATTACAAAATCAATAAAACTTATTGAAAAAGAAATTAAACATTGTTCACAAAGTGGAAAAAAATTCTCTTTTGATCTTGTAAAACTTAAACTTGATTTGAATGATTTCCTAACTTTCAGCAAGTTTGAAACCAATTTTATACATTGCATTCTATAAACTTATGATTCAATGTTTAACAATCAAATTTGCAATAAAATTTGTCACAATATCTGTAATAGTAATCTCAATTTATATTTTGAATGTTTTCCTGTTGGAAGGAATAGGACAAATATGAAATTATTAAGAATTCTAGGTGGTACATTAAAAATTCATGAATTTTAAGGAAAAGGAATCGACCTCCAGGGTGATTCAAAAATGTCAGACTATTTCTTCTGTGTTGATAAAGGACATCTAACTGAGTCAAAAAACAATTGTTTGAGCCTTTTTTCACGAGCTAAGAGCTCTTCAAAGATGATGTAATGATATAAGAAATAAGATGATATATGAAACTTGACATTTCTGAAAGCTTATAACAAAAATGCGAATTCATTTTTATGCTTAGTTGAAAGTCTTCTATCACCGTTCGAGAGTTGGTTCGACATTTTTTAAACACCCTGTATTTAATACTTAATTTTATTAATTTTGTAACTGTAATAAAACAAAAAACATAAAAATAATAACAACGTTTGTTTCTTAAAGTTTATTATTTATAAATTTATCGATTGCTTTTCCATTGTTTTATTAATCACAAATTTCTTAATTAATGTTTTACGGATATGTAAATCTATACTAAAGACGTTTAAATTTGTTTTTTAAATGCCACATCAAGGATGAAATTAACGAACATTTAACCTGACTCTACTTCTCAATTTCCGTTACAATTTCTTCGAATTTTTCTTAAAACCTTACACTTGTCGTTTTTTAGGACTGAATATTAAATTCTGCGCACGTCCAACTCTTTACTTGACTGGAATAATCAATCACATTCGACCAAAAGAAGTGATTAAAATCACTACTTGATGAAGAACCAACCTTTTTATGAAGACGTTATAAATAAATTTGCTGCCCTAAAAGACAGAAGAATTGACTTGGTGTATAAAAATTAGGTAGGTAAGTAAGTACTAAATAATTATACATTATCATTTCAAAAGGATCCAGTCTCAATAACTTTTGACATTGAGTAAATGGATTTTCAAGCAAAAGCAGGTCGATTAGGATCTCGAGGGGGAAGTTGAAAACCAACATTAGTTACATTTTAAGTTTCATCCCCTAATCGCTAGCCACCCCTACTTTAAAATTTTAAATGGCACCTCCTATTTTTTAGAACGTTCTCGGAAAGAGAAAAAATCAGCGTCTCTAAATGTCAAAGAAAAAATTTTTTTGTCGATTTATTTTTCAGTTAGGGGTGGTTTAATTTTTGAAATTTTTAGTCCTAGTAAATTCAATTTAATTTAAATAAAAGTAATTTTTTAATTAACTGAACTGTCAAATGGTAAATTTTCGCTGAATTGTTGAAACCACCGCCTTCTTAATAAAATGTATTAGATGACATATAATCAAAATCAAAGTTAAAAGCTACTAGCACTAATGGGAAATTCTTAAATAAAACTACCCCTAACTCCAAAACGAATCGACAAAATATTTTTTTTTCATTTACGACTAGATAAGCTTTTTTTCACCCTTTCCAAAAATGTTTCAAAAAGTTGGAGGGGCTCTTTAAAATTTTAAAGTAAAAGTGGTTAGTGACTAGGGGATGAAACCTTAAACGTATTTAATGTTGGTTTTGAATTCTCCCATCGCAATCCAAATCGACATATTTTTTATTTGAATTAAATTGAGTTCAATCAAAAGCTACTAAGACTGAAAATTTCAAAAATAAAACCACCCCTAACTGAAAAACAAATCGATAAAAAAAAATTCTTTGACAGTTAGATACGCTCATTTATTCCCTTTCTGAAAATGTTTGAAAAAGTAGGAATGCCATTTAAAATTCTAAAGTAGGGGTGGCTAGCGACTAGGGGATGAAACCTAAAACGTATTTAATGTTGGTTTTAAACTCTCCCATCGCAACCCAAATCGACATATTTTTTATTTAAAAAAAATTGAGTTGAATCAAAGGCTACTAGGACTAATAATTTCAAAAATTAAACCACCCCTAACTGAAAAACAAATCGACAAAAAAATTTTTCTTTGACATTTAGAGACGCTGATTTTTTCTCTTTTCGAAAACGTTCTAAAAAGTAGGGGGTGCCATTTAAAATTTTAAAGTAGGGGTGGCTAGCGACTAAGGGATGAAACTTAAAATGTAACTAATGTTGGTTTTCAACTTCCCCTTCGGGATCCTAATCGACCTGTTTTTGCTTGAAAATACATTTAGTCAATGTTATTGAGACTGGATCCTTTTGAAATGAAAGCCCTGTGTTTATTATGTTCTTGAAGTAGATGTAGGAATTTTTTTTTGTTTTAATTTCATAAAAAAAGAAATGTACAATATTTAGCTCTTCACCTAGTTCAAGAGCCGCCACTGATTTCAATTACAAAAAATAAAGCTTTGTCCGAAGAAGAAAAAGCAAAACAAAATTAATTAGACGAGTTTTCGTCTTGAGTTTTGTTTTTGTGTTTTTGAAAAAATAAACTCTGTCCCTAATTTAACGTTTTCAACTAATATTTATGAGAAAACACAGACAGAATTATTACAAAACTTAAAAAAACAATAAAAAAAATATCGTCACAGTGATTGTTCATTAATGCCTAAATAATTAATTAAATAAATTAAAAAATGATTAAAAAATGATTAAAAAATGATGAGAGTAGAATCTTTATTTTAATCAGATTTTCCTTGGAGATAATAAAAAATTGCACTCAAAAATTTCTGGGAAAACAATACTTAAACGTGCGCTACATCAGTTCTCAACCCTTTTTTTGACAATAACTTCTATTTTTTCTCTCATTAGACAAAAAAACACCACTCATAATTTCTCGTCCATAAACCAAATAACCACATTTTTGAGCAATAATGAAAATTGCACAAAGATTTCTGGGAAAACAACCCCAATCGTGCACTAAATTAGTTCTCAGCTCATTCTTTCGACAAAAACTCCTATTTTTATCCTTCATTAACCAAGAACACACCATTCTCTCCTCAATCAATTGACCAGCCGTCAATCAATACCCAAATTGGCAAATCCTTGACCGTGAAAATCCGAATTTCCCATCTCATAGTAACGTTTTCGTGCGCAACACAGATGAAAACCTGCTATTGATTTAAAAAGCAGCAGTCGAGCCATGGCGACCCCAACCGTCGCTATATTGGGCCTGGTGCTCCTCACTGGGGCCCTCGCGGGGCCCTTCCAGCGACAGCAAAACGCCCAACTCTACGACGAGGTCAGACAACTCCTATCCCTCGCTCAAGGTTATCAGGTGAGAGTTTTTCAATGGTCGACTGAACCGGAAACCGAAATTCAGCCCTTATTTCTCCCAAACGGAATGTTACATAGGCAACACGCGAAACACAGTTGTATAACTGGTTGCATGGAAATGCATCCTAATCCAATTAATTTTTCTATTATGCAAATTTTTATGAGACATTGATATATTCATATCGGGGAATTCCAGACGAGCTTCTTTAAAAAAATCCTTCTTGTTTGTTTTCCCACTCCTCAACCTCAACTCTTTGAGTTCATTTAACTTTCGCAATGGTCGAGTGCGTTACACCAAAATGTAACTGATTCCGTCGAAATGAATGTAAAACGACAAAACGTCGTTACAGGAGTGGCGATTTTCTTTGTTTTTGTTGTGGTTGTGACTGTATGTAGCCTAAAGGTGAGCTGATTTCACTCTGATGACGCACGAAGCTGCCATATGTTGCTGATGGCCAATCAGCTGCTCAGATTTCCCGGAAATTTGCGGCTCCGGGTTCCGGGATTGACACGTGTCTGCTGATCTATATTTGGGGGTTGCACGTGGACGCATTGCGGTGCCACGTGCAAGCTTTTTGATAACGACTAGATCAACAAAGGAGATTGTTAGCGCTGTTATTATCATTTCATGTTACAAAATAAAGAAATAAACATAAGAAAAAAAATTAATTTCCAGGCGAATGTTCAAAATGATGAGCCTTTGGAGCAAGTCTCCGACAAACCCGACATTCCAAAGGCTGTGAAAAACTGGCCGAAAAAGGCGCTTAAACTGGGACAAGTGTCGGGAGTCTCCGTGAATTCCGCCTTTCAACCCGTTATATTCCACCGTGCAGACCGAGTTTTTGACCAATAGTACGTAAAACTTCCTTTTTTCGGAGAATAATCGGTTTTTGTAGCACATTTAACTCAACAAACCACTTCCAACAACTCCATTTGGGACCAATAGCAGAACCCACAGTTCTCACTCTCGACCCCCAAACCGGGCAAGTCTTGGGCCAATGGGGCGAGAACTTCTTCTTCATGCCCCATGGTTTGACCATCGACCGACACGACAACTTATGGGTGACGGACGTGGCCCTCCATCAAGCCTTCAAAGTAAGCAAAACTCGTGGAATTAAACCGGAGAAAAACGTGTTTTTTTTAGTTCAAACCGGGGGAATTGAGCCCCGTTTTGACTTTCGGTCAACGGTTGACGCCCGGTTCCGGCAAAAACCACTTGTGTATGCCGACTTCGATCGCTGTGGCGTCGGAAGGCGAAGTCTTCATCGCTGATGGTTACTGCAATAGCAGGATTTTGAAGTATAACGCTGCAGGAGTCCTGCTTAGGGTTATTCCAAGTCCTCCAGGTTGGCGTTTGTGTCCCAAGCCGGCTATTTCTAACTCAATTTGTAGAGTTTTTGTCACTGCAAGTGCCCCACGGACTCGCCCTTATCGAATCATTGGACCGATTGTGCGTAGCTGACAGGGAAAACATGAGGGTGACTTGTCCCAGAGCCGGATTGTACAGTATGAAAGGGAAATCCGAGCCGGCACTTACTATTCAACAACCCGATATGGGACGAGTGTTTGGAGTGGCAGCAAAAGGTTAAAAATAAAAAAACCATTGAAAAAAAGTGCGCCCCCGGGTGGGCTCGAACCACCAACCTTTCGGTTAACAGCCGAACGCGCTAGCCGATTGCGCCACGGAGGCGATGGCAAACGTCGCGAATTGTCAACAATTCAGTAACTTTTATCACGATTTCATTCATAAAATTATGATCACATTATTTACAGAATTTTTGCATGATTTCAATCAATAAAAGATAAGCATTTTACTCATTCAACAAAATTTACTTTGTTAGTTAGATGACATTAAATACATGATGTGAACAAAGTTGCATAGTCTCAAGACGTACACTTGATTTATGACGTAAATGGACTAACTAACATTATCATCATTTTATTTACAGCCTTGTTTCAATAACAGATAAGCGTTTTACTCATTCAATAGAAATTTGTTTGCTGCTTAAATGACATACAACGTGGTGTAAACAAAGTTGCATAATGTCAAGGCGTTCAATTTTTTTTCAGGAAAACTGATTTATGCCGTAAATGGACCAACTAATCAGCTACTACCGGTCCAAGGACTTACCATTGATCCTCAAGCTGAAGCCGTTATTGATCACTGGGCCCCAGAAGAGGTGGGTGTGTTGTTTCAAAAAAAACATTTTTTTCCGCTTAATAATAGCCCAAGTTATTTTGGAAAGTGACTACCACGAAAAACCAAAAAGTTTAGAAATACTCCGGCCCAATCATATTTTCAGAAAAACAACAAGCTTTTTTACTTTGTCTTCAGGCAAATAAAACAATTTTAATTTTTTTAGTTAAAAAAAATTGAGTCATTCAATTTGCAAAATTTTGGCACGAATTTTGTGGTTTCTGCTGCATTTTTTCACTTTCCCGTCTATAAATTGGGCTTTTTATGCGACCACCTGTACCCATCCATCTCCAGCCACAAACCTGTAGCTAATTAGGTACGGCAAAATCTGGGAAAGCGATACCTTTCTAAATCACCCTTTACACGACACAAACAAAGCGCTCTTTGAAGATTTATGGGTTTCAGCTGCGTACTCGTCATAAACTTACAATTAGAGCACTGTCAAGATTTCTCCACAAAGCGTTATTCATCTTGGATTATTTTCCAGGGCTTCGGTAACCCCCACGCCATCGCTGTGTGCCCCAACGGTTCGGCCCTGTACGTGGCCGAAATCGGTCCAAACCGGATCTGGAAATTCGAACTAGTCCCGCCGAAGAAGAAGTAAAAAATATCAAAAAACGGAATTTAATTTATAATTTTTCAAGAACTACACAATAGTTTAGTTGGATGTATAGGTGGTCACAAATTGTGTATAGAAATTGTTAAACTTTGCACATTGCTGTACCATCATTTCTATAGACAATAAAAGAAAAATGTCCCGTTTTACTTTGGCGCCTTTCATTGCAAGATGGCCGCCGCCGGTTATTAGAGTTAATTACAGGTGGTCAAGCAGATTTATGGCCCGTTTCACGATAATTGCGCGCATTTCGTCCGAGAATTTAGTCGCGACTGTACTATTTAAATGAGAAGAAATGGTGGAAGAAAAAAGACGAAGCAAACGCCTCACGTCTCGCCTGCGAACGGCACTTAAAAGAACGAACGGAGATAATGTCTTATTTATAAGGCGGCCCTGTTAGGAAATAAAGAACTAGCCTCGAGAGTGCGCTTCTATTTCGCACAGCTGCACGCTCGCATGCTAATATATTTGCCGGGGTTTTGCTTTTTTTTCCACGACTTGCGGACGCGAACACAACTAACAAGTTTATTTACACGTTAACGAGGTGAAAATCGTGAAATTTACTAAGAAGACCGGAGACGACCACCACAACAAACCGAAGAGAAGAACAACCAGAAACGGGCTTCGAGTTGAGATAATCAAAGAAAACTTTTTACTTTTCACCTATGCAAGAAAAATAAGGCTTTCTCCGTGTAATACAAATCTTATACTGAATATTGTCAGTTTAATAACAAATTTGCTATATAGAAATATCGAATTTTGGGAGAGGTTACCGATAAAAGCATTTTTTCGAAATGGATCCTTCTCCAAAAGCATTGTTTTGTCATTCCGAGATTATAATTTAGAATTATATTATTTGCAAATTATTACGAAGATCGGTCCTACTTTATAAAATTGAATAAGATGTTTATTATCATAATTAAATTTGATATCTGGTTTCCACACAGTGAAAATTTTAAATTTAAATGCCGGGTGTCTAGCAAACAAAAAGAGGAATATGAAAAATATCCCTACAAATCTCTCTAGAAAAGTATACAGAGTGCGCCAGAACTCGCACCCCAGAGAAAACAATAAACTTAATTTTTTAATAAAAAATGTCAATAGGTATCAAATGGGTTTGAAAGTCTTCTTCAGTTTTTTTTTTTGTATTTATGTATAGTTTTTCCAGCGTTATATTATATATACAGGGTGCTCCAGAACTCGCGCCCCATGGAAAAAATGTTAAAAAATTCTATCTATAAAAATTTCGAAGTTATGAGCGTTTAAATTTTGCAGTTTGACTATTTATTTCTGTTGGAAAAATAATTTTCCAAGTTTTTTTGCTACAGGCTATTAGAAGAGGAAAAAAGGAAGCTGTATGCTAAATTGTATCTAACTGTTTAATGTTATTTGTGGCTTATATTGAAAAAAATAATAATTAATAATAATTAATTAGTTATAAAAAACGTACATACAAGATCATCAGTATCATTAAATAGATATTAAAAAAATGTCAAATGTCAAAAAATAAAAGTCAAAATATTTTTCATGTTCCTTGAATCTTATCCTTTTGAAATTTTTCTCTGACACACCCGGTATTATGAGTTGATAATTTTACAATTTTTCTAAATGTCATAGTATATTTTAGGCTATATTAGCTTTTCTGGTAAAAACATGTGCAATATTTTCTACTTTTATTAAACATTGAAAAAATAATAAAAGTTAATAAAATCTAGTTACATGGTATCAAATAAGACAATGTCATTATTTTAATGTCAAAAAGCAGCAAATGAAAAAAGCATATCGCCACGACGATTTTTTTGCTGACTACGTATTTTTATAATTCTTTAAGGAGTCGAACATTTTTTTAACAAAAAAGTGTAAAAAAGAATCGAAAATGTGTTATGTACAATGTTTGTATATTCCACTTTTCCAGAATTAATATTTTTAGATCTGTGATATTTATCCGTTTTTAGGTTTGTAAAAAAGGACCTTTTATTTTTTCTTTTCAGGAACAGGAAGACTGATAAATTATTAAAATTGAAAAATTAAAAGACACAGATAAGAAACTAAATAAGAGTATAAAATACAGTAACATACAGATTCAAAAAAAAAACTGGGAAATCTAAAAAAAATCAAAAAAGTGTTTGTAATTTCAAAGATAAGAAAAAATAATTTAAAGATTTTGAAAAAAGAAGCATATTATGAATAAAGAAGAATATATATAATAGTGTTAACTCAAAATTTGAAAGTTAGGAAAGCAGGAAAGAAATAGAGAAAATTATAAGATTTGAAAAACACTGAAAGTTAAAAAAAATAGAAACTGCGTAAAAACTAAATAGAGAAAATAAAAAATTGAAGACTTCGTATTTGGAACATTTAATGATAAAGACACACAAATAATATAAAGATTGCAAAATAAAAAAGACTATTGAACTTTGAAATAAAATAAAAAGAAGAAGAATGTACTCGAACATACCAGGTGAAAAAAAAGTATGGAACCAAACCTTTTTTGCTTAAATTATTTACTTTTTGGAAAAACTAATTAATGTAGCAAAAAGTATTATAAAAATGGGACGTTCTATCAAGAATTTTTTTTCTAAATGTTCTTTTGTTTTTGAGTTTTGCAAAATTTTTAATTTATTTTAAATGGCAACCCACTACAAAACATTTTTTTTTCATAAAGGCTATGATCTAAGGACTACAGCGACCTACTTTATATTCAATTTTCATCAAAAAAATTTTTCACATATGTTGCCATTTTGACAAAAAAAAATCACATAAATCAAAAACAAAACGAAATTTCATTCTCAAAACACGATCACAGTTTTTATAACACTTTAATTTTTATAAATTATTATTTTCTGTAAGC